CGTTGCAGGCTACTGCGTGTACACAGCAATGATGCCGGCTACTGTGAGTATATAAGAAATGATGTATGGTACTGCAACTACACAGAAATACTGCAGGGTAGTGCAATTACACATCACAGCAATTTCGCAGGCTACTATTGGTACACACCAATGATGAAGATAACTGCAAGTATACAGATGTAGGGTACTGGGACTACACAGCAATGCTGCAGTCTGCCGCAAGTACATGGCAATGCTATAGGCTATTATGAGTACACAGCAACGGGGTAGGTTATTAACAGTACACAGCAATGTTCCAGACTATTCTGAAAAAAAAACAACAATGTTGTTGGCTACTGCGAGTTCACGGCAATGTCGAATGCTATTGTGGAAAAACGGTAATGATTTTGGTTATTGCGAGTATTTTTAGTACACAACAATTGTGTACGCCATTTCTAGTACACAGTAATGCTGTAGGCTATTACGAGTACACAACAATTATGTAAATTATTGCGAGTACACAGCGATGTTGCAGACTATTCTGAAAAAAACAAACAATTGCCAGTAAACATCCAATGCTCTAGACTATTACTAGTACAGAACAATGATATTGTTGAAAAACGACAATGATTTTGACTATTGCGAGTATTGTGAGTACACAACAATGTTGCACGCGTTCTCGTACACAGTAATGGTGTAGGCTATTACGAGTACACAGCAATGATGTTGGTTACTGTGAGTACTCAGCAATGATGTCGGTTATTGTGAGTACACAGCAATGGTGTAGACTATTCTGAAAAAAAAACAATGTTGTTGGCCACTGCGAGTACACGGCAATCTTGAATGCTGTTGTGGGAATACGGCAACAATTTTGGCTATTGCGAGTATTCAATGAAACCATTACATTACATGATTACTTGAAATTGTCCTACAACATAATTCTAGTGATAGTTGCATGTCACTATCTCCAACAGTACTTGAGATTTTATAGTTCTGCATATTTTTGAGGTCGCATAATCATAGTCATGTTTCTTGTCTTCATTATGGCACTGATTGCATGTCCTTATTTTCAACATTACTCGAGGTACACTTATGCATATTAATGAAGCCACATGAACCCAATTATAAAAGACATAATCAATATACATTATTCTAGAGTAACCAGATTTGTGGATTATCCAAAATCACCTATGTACCAAGTTTCATTGAAATTTGATGAGTGGCACGAAAGATATAAATTGATTAACGTACACAAATTATGAATCTAGTAAGAACGTAATACAACCTTCAACTAAACATGTATATAGATTATCCCAGTATATATCTATTTACAAAGTTTCATTGAACTCTGATACTGATAATTGGTTGGGTGGAAAGCTAAAAATTGAGTACTAAATATGTAAATTAGGTAATTAATTTGCACATATATGTTCTTTACTCAAGTTGAAATCTGTTAAATGAAAGTACATGATGATATGTGTGCATAGTGCTTTCTAGATCAGGGATTGAGCTAAATATTTGGCATGCACTAACTTGATACAAATTAGTGAATTTTTGCCTATTTGGCATTAAATATTGCTTGATATTTGACACGTTCTTTTTATTTGTATACAGATTTTCTGCCCAGATTTGCTTAACAGTTTACAATAGATCACCCGAAAATTAGCAAATGTTTTGATTGTTACCATCACAATGCGAAGATGTCTTGAGCATATAATAATATAAATATAGATATGATTTATTTGAGAAGTTCAATTTTACATAGGTGCATTGACATTTTACCCTGAAAATTTCCAGTGATTTTCGAACAATTATTTCTATGGATATAGATATGCAAAATTATTTTCAGTTGTGTAACATTTAAGGTATACAATCTGTATCTACTTAAAAAGTTCATGCTTTAATCACTATTTTGATGACTATACCAAACATTCTTGTGTTGAGACAGCACGTCCTGTGACGACACAGCAATTATTTCTTAACAGATAGATAATTTCACCATCAGAATCGTTAATGGTAATATGTCCGAAACAGTGAGCAAAGTGGTTTGTAAATAAAGAAAAAGTAAAGATGGCGCCAGCTCTGTATTATCTGTCAATATAACCCTACAGAACTCAGATCTCTCGAGTTTGAAACAGCTGTGTACGTCTCGTCGGTTGTCACTATTTAGAGAGTTTTCAAGCTAAAAAATGCAACCCACTGGCAATGGTATATGAATAAGGGAAAAGTTTGACTAAAAAACCGACTGTAGACAGACTAGTTTGACAACGTATTAAGCATTTTTTGTCATTCATCCAAAGATACATGTCACCATTTGAACCATTTGCCAAAGACCTGTTTGTATTGACACATCTGAAGTATTCTAGTAATATACTCCTGTTCCGCTTGTACCTGTAGGTAAGTTGATTTGAATTCTATAGCAATATCTGCTGTTATGGTTTGATCTACTCACCTTGTGATGCTACTTGTTCTTTGTGTATTGACACATCTCAAGTATTACAGTAATATACATATAGTCTAACCGTACCTGTATGTAAGTTGAACTGTAATGTATAGCTATACAATATTGACACATCTGAAGTATTACAGTAATATGCACCTGGTTTATCTGTACCTGTAGGTAAGTTGTATTGTATAGCCATATCTGCTGTTATGGTTTGATCTACTCACCTTGCGTTGTTACTTGAACTGCTTGTATTGACACATCTGAAGTAGTGATATACACCTGGTTTACCTGTACCTGTAGGTAAGTTGAGCTGCGTTGTATAGCCATATCTGCTGTTATGGTTTGATCTACTCACCTTGTACTGCTTCTTGTACTGTTTGTTGCATTGTATAGTCATATCTGCTGTTATTGTTTGATCAACTCACCTAGTGATGGTAATTGTACTGTTACTATTGACACATCTGAAGTATTACAGTGATATACACCTGGTTTACCTGTACCTGTAGGTAAG